ATGTCGTTCATCATCATTCCATAGTTTTGGTTTGAATTTCAAAGGTTCTTTACACTGATGTTTACTAGAAAGACCTCTTATAGTATCATGAGAACAGCCACAACGGCAATAAAAATAGCGAACGAAAGGGATTTCTTCATATTTCTTGTTTTGATGATAGACACAAACGAAACTTTTTTCAAAGTTTATGTTGGAATAAGGAATATTGTTTTTTTTAATAATTTGTTTATGAAATATTTTAGTATATTTGCGAGGAAAATATTTTTGAATAGGCATATTATTCAGAGTTGAGATAAATTTTTTATGAAGAGTTGGTTGAAAAACATGCATTTTTATAGGAAAAATCAACAGGTTTTGAAAAAATTTAAGTAAAATTTTCATCGAATAAATCGTAAAAATTTCCTAATGTAGACAATATATATTTGGTAATTTACAATAAATAAATAGGAAATACTTATAGAAAATTACCAAATGTGGACAGTCTAAATTTGGTAATTTCACCAAATGTATAAATAACAACTGAATAGGAAAATAAGAAATACGTAAAAAAAATGAAAAGAAAATCAAACTTAGCAGTGAAACACTATAGGAAAAGAAGAAAAGCGCTTCATGAAACCATCGAAAAACTTCGAATATATGGAATTACCGAGATAATCATGGAACAACTCTACAATATTATTTTTAATAACATCCTCTACAATGACATGAACAAGATGTGTTTATCTTCCCATCCTAAAAGACTAATCGATAAGTGTAGACTGATAAATCAATACTTCAAACACTATTTTGAGTAGTATTTTTTTGAAAAAATCAATAAACTGTATAATATTGTTATCGTAAAAAACATATATGATCTCTCATACAAATTCTTAAAGGCCATAAAAAATAAACAAATCTGGGAACCGATCTATAATATCATAACAAAAGATGGAGAAATCAACTTTTGGGAACTGATAATTATCAATATTTTTATCAAAGATAGTTTAGAAATTGATTCTATTTTTTCTGATCTTCTCATTAAAATTGCCTGTTTTCGATTTACTAAAATATTTTCAAGAATTAAATATTCGGTTAAATGTAATGACTCTTGTGTTGTATATTCTGGCCATCATTCTCTAAATATGATATGTTCAAAAGATAAAAATTTTTGGTATTTCGCTTGTGAGAAATGTGGTTTTTACTGAGCTGTAGCTGATTACAGGAAAACCCATAAATCAAAATTATTATTCTTGTAAATTTGTATAAATACAATGTGATAATATATAATAAAATAAAAATAAATAATAAAAAATAAAAATGAACGTTATCATTAAGGGAAAAAATGGTACCGGAAAAAAAACCCTGGAGAAAAAACTGGCAGAAGCCCTGAATTACACGTATATTGACCTCAATCTTTATGAAGATAAAGTTTACAAAAAACTGTTTTTAGGTATTCTAAATCATAATATCAAGATGGGGAAATATGTCATATCTGGAAATAACACGACCATGTTAATCCTACAAAACAACAACATCAATGTGCTCCTTACTGCTGATTTTGACACTAGAGTTGAATGAAAATACATTAAATCATGTAACTTAGACGAAGATCAGATTAAAGAACTTGTAAGACATAATGATGAAAAGTTTAACGAAAAATTGGTTGATTTCATTCTAGATACTACTGAAAAAAATGTGGAAGAATCGTTCAAAGAACTTTACGAAACCGTGATGAAGACCAAAACAAACAATGAAATTTTTAAAAAATTAGGAATAGCCTTAGCATTTTTATTGTTTAGCATTCTTGTAGAAATCATTTTTAACAAAAGATACTTTATTACAGAAATAAAATAAATTGAAAAAATAAAATAAATTTTTATGTTCAAAAAGAACAAGAATCACATGATTCTAGCACTTTGTAAACATAAAAATCTATAATAAATTATCATCATCATACAAAATATCATTAAAATACAAGTAATTGTTATAATATAGATCCTGAAGAAACATATTGTAAGGCATATAAATTTCCAATGAATCCAAACCATCATCCACTAAGGGAATATAATTAACATCTGCCGCATCAATAAAATCAACGTTCACAACAGTGGAATTAACATCCACAACAGTGAAATTAAAATTATCTAACAAATCTTCAATAGAAAGAGGAGGACAGAGTGTATCAGCTAATGCTTCTCCTTCAATGTATTGATCAAATTGTACACCATTTTCTTCTTTCATAATAAGATCGTTTGAAGATAAATTTTCAACTTCAAACTCGTCAGAAGATTCATCTTGATTCAAAGATTCGTCTTCAACCACATTTTCATCATCATCTCGAACTTGTTTTCCTTTGTTTGATTTTACGGAATTCTTGGAACGCTAACTATGACCTTCTATAGTAATCAGACGCCGCCTTCAATTCCGATCGAGTTTTCCGATAAAGCTTTTTATAATAATTAACTGTTCTTATCTTTTTTGATTGCTTTTTAATGTCTTTAATATAAGCATTGTTCAAGATAGTGTTGGAAGTTTCAATAGAAAAATCCTCCTTCACCTCTTCGTAGGATCTCTTCTTGAGTTTAGAATTGCTCATAATTGTTTCTGGAGTAGTGTTCTTTATGTACTTGTACATTTTTTAAACAGAAATTGACCATCTATAAGCAGAAAGTGTCCAATTTAAAGATAAAACGGATAAACTATCATATGCTTTTCTTAAGACCAATGAAACAAAATTGCCAATTAAAGAATCGAATGATCATACAGATCATCAATGATTGACACACTTTCTCTAACACGGAAAAACCATCTTCCAACACCAATCAGAACAACAACAACCGATAATTAACATAAATCTTCTCACGGAAAATGGAATGATATTTATAGATAAGACTAATCGGGTTTTGTACTAAAAATTTTTTTCAACAAAAAAACGATTCTGAAATCTCCTATAAAATCGTATCATGCATTATGCATGCAACGTAAATTCTGAATCAAAAATAGCAACTAAACAAAATATAAAATGCCTTCCTTTTTCGTAAAATCACTTTATCTTTCTTTGTTTTAAAAAAAAAATTAAACGAAGAAAATTTTAAAATAATGACAGAAACCTTGGTCTTTCCGAATGTTCCTGGATACTCTTACTTGAACTTAATTAAAGAAGAGTACTATGCAGAATTAGCCTCTATCTGCAAAAGAAGCCCAACTGTTAAAAGAGTTGTGGAAATAATCGTACAAAACCCGAACCCTATTAGTAAATTATACCAAAGAAAAATCAAACCAACAAGGTTTGATAATGAAAAATTTTTTAAAATTAAAAGAGAAAGTGAGGAAGAATGAAATGATACGAGCACCTTAGAATGGTATAAATGTAGACAATTTATATACCATATCGCAAAATATTATAGAGATTATATATTTATATAATTTTTTAATTTGTAAATATTTATTTTTTAATAATTTTTATTAATAAAAAATATAAAATATGAAAAATTATGTTTGAATTTGATAAATTTCAATCCAATTGAGTATATGTCTACCAATATCATAGAAAGACATTTGTCTGATTGGCTTTGGTTCATATGATAATAACTCATGGAATTCCCAATTAAACCTGTTCATAAACATATTGCTAACACCAAAATTAGGACCTTTATCACCACATACACTAACAAATAATTCGTCATTTTTTTGTCTTGCAACCTTAAAATTGATATTATCTAAAATGTAAAAATACTCAAGTGAAAATATAAAACTATCTAAAATTTTAGTTTTTTTACCTCATTTCCAATATCCTGCATTGTAACCACTATACAAACATGAATTATCTTGTCCAATAATCAGCAATGATTCTTTATCCTCAACAACATCATAGAGATCTCGTCCATTCAAAGAATCTTGATCTCGTTTTGCTGAGAAAATCAACCTGTATCGGGTTAATGGATTATTGAAGATTTTGTTTAAACTATCAATACGAGAACGTGTAAGAAATGATGACACATTATCGATATTCGAATATCTAATCTATTCTACATCGTGTTAAGGAACGTAATCTGAATCTAGTTTTTTACCGATCACATCTTTTAAAAGATGCTGATTCTTAGTAAGATTATATTCATTCTATAATAATTCTATAATTTTTTCTTTTTCCAGTTGATGCAAACGAAGTTCTCCTAGATCAATATCATAATTATTCTTCTTAATTATCCAGAACAATTCTTTCTCTGTCACTCCCAAATCATCTCTTCTCAACAATAATTTAAATGTCTTGTTGCCGAATTTTGCATTAGTATCAAATACAAGTTTTCCAATATTTTGCATTATATAATGAAATGTTGATTCAAATATGTGATATAAAGACTCACATTTGAACAAAAGTTCAACCAATATAACAATTTCCTCACTTGAGAAAGTAGTAACGGTGAGTTTCAAACACTCATATATTTTGCTTGACAAATCATTTAACAACAATTTATCACTTTTCTTCAACAATTCAATTGTCAATTCAACATTAGTATCAGAATAAAGATAAGTTACAATAATATACATCACAGTTTGTTTCTAATCAGATTCAATAACGAACATTCCCTCTTCGTCCTTCTTAGCCCAAGTTGATGATAATAAAACATGAAAATATTCAGAACGAGCACTTAAAATTTAAGAATGCGTACGTATCACTGGATCAGTTTTAATGATAACATCTGCATTTTCTCCTAAGAAATTTGACATTTTTAACAATTATTGTAATTTTGTCAAAAAAAAGTAGCACTTTTTGCACCGTTAAATACCGAAATTGCTAAATATGGACAATCAAAGAATTTCAATTGGATTCGATAAAATTAAAATTACTAAATGTGGAATCTACATTTGGTAATTCAGTAAAAAATATATAAATATGCTAAAATATAATATAGCAATAAACAACAGACAAAAATGAACCAAGAAAAAGTCCGAAATCGCTGATTTACAGCAAACTCTACAGAAACTATTTCCATTTCATCACGTATAATGAAACAACCAAGAAGGCGGTTATCAAAATCGGTAAAATCACAAACAAAGAAATCATCAACAACGAAGAAAAAACCCTGTTCAAACTCATATTAAACAACATAATCGAAGAAGCCAAAAAAAGAATTTGCGAAAAAATCATCAAAAAACATCAAGATCTTTTCGATGAAATTGAAAGTAAAATCAATATCTGTTACAAAGAAGAACTCTTTGAATTTTTAAATAGTACCATTGAAGATTTTGTTACTGATGATATTGATAAATATGTATTCGCATCAATCTTTCATATATTTACCAAATATTACTGCTTTCACGTTTCTGTTGGTGAAGAATATAATCTGCTTACAAAAGATAAAAAAATCTTTTTTAAGAATTTATTAACAAAAGTAATTGAATATCAAGCACAAAAATTTGGTAAAACATCGTTGAAAATGTTTAAAATTATAAATGAAATTGAAAAAAAAATTGAAAAATCCTCTAAAAAAAAACTATTCAGATACTTAAATTTACTATTTTATAATATTATTATTAACAACAGAAAATAAATATTTTTGAAATTTAATAAATTCTTGTTCAAGTTTTAACCTATATTTGACAATTTCATCCATTTGCTTATATGTGTAATTAACAATAAATGATGTTGAAATATCGTTAAAAATCATGTACTTTTCTTAATACATCTCTGGAAATTTTCCGTGAAGCGTATACATAAGCTCTTTGAATTTTCCGTGCTGATACTTCGTAAAAGTTAGAAAAAGTGTTTCAGCTAACACATTCTTGTATTCATTGATATGAAAATCACGCTTTCCAATATGACGATTAACAGAAAGATAATTGATATTCTCATCGATTGTTTGAAGAAAAGTAATTGGTTGTTTATGTTTCATCTTAATACAAATAAAAATTATATAATTTGTTTTCCTCTCGATACCAAAATTTGATACTGAGAAGAAATTCACAAGTAGAAAATAAAGTCATCTGTTAAAATTTTTGGTCTATTCCCAACTAACCTAGCATAACAATCATCGCATATTTTATGAGAATGATAAATAGAATTTCTAAATTTACACGTGTAAATAAAACAATTACATATAAATGTTTCAGTTAAATACGTAAACTTTAAACAAATATCACATATTTTCTTGTTAGTATCTAACACAAAATCCTTCTTAAATGGGTATAATCTGTATCTTGAACTGATTTTGGATTCGTTTTTTCCCAATAGAGAGTATACAACACCATTATTTTCATGATGAATTAAGCGTCTTTTGTTGTCCTTAAACCAGATCCATCAGCTATCCACTTTCTTAATTTCCTTGTAAAAAACTAACTTCTGTTCATTGGAAATTGGATTAAAAGTGTTTATATA